TTGAGAGCTGAATGCAACAAAATTTCATTTTAATGTATGCTGATTAATGGATGAGTATTGACAAATGATTATTGTCACTTAACATGACAGTGAAGTTTAAATTCATTTCTATCCTACTCCATTCCATTCCATTCCTGCAGGGAACTTTGCTTGTTCAGCCCCTCTGGCCTCTGCTGTAAAAGGCGGAGAAGATGCATGACGAAGATTCCAGCTCAGAGAACATCTGCTCATCTCAGGTGGACCTTTGCATTGATACCAGAGTCAAACTTAAGCCAAAGAGCAAGTTTCCCTTGAGAACTCATTTGATTTCCACAATTGTTCCCCCATTTCTTTGCAAATCAGTGCTCTGAGAAATTCCCAAAGCACCATTTTCAGATCCTGAGGCTCTAATTGAGATAAATGTATATTTAAAAGTCTACAAACAATAAATGCTGCATATCCATCCCCTTTTTTAAAAAAGTGAGATATCTGAATGAGACCACACCTCCGAGGGACCCTGCTTGATTTCTTACTTTCTTGCTCCTCACCCTCTCACCCCTTGCCAGAAAAAGCTATCCTGCTCTTCTAGCACCACTTTTCCCCCTGCCAGGAATGTTATTTCCAGAATTCCTGGCTCAGGTGGCTTAACTGCCTTCTGCTTTGCAAAGTTAGAGGAAGGCTGCAAATTCCTTTCTCTGGTAACATTTGCTTCCTCTTTTATCCAGAGAACTGATTGTACCAATTTTTTTTTTACTGTTATGTCATCATTTCTCAGATACGAACCATGAATTTTATTTCCAGCAAATCTCCACCCTCTCCACAACCAATAAAAATAAACACGAGAAATTCTGCCTCTCAGCATGGAGCTAGGGAGGTGCACAAGCTACCCCAACTGCTATTGCTTCTCTCATTTGATCCAAGAGCAAAGATGAACAGCTTCCTGGCTACTCTCACCATCTTCCTGGTTGGTGCTATGTTCTTATCCCAAACTCAGGCTCAATATGGTAAGACTGCTTTTTCTTCTCTTTTTCAGCATCCCACCTGCATTCTGAGGGCAGTTAGGTGGCTCATGGTTAAAATGCTGGACTTGTCCGCCAAAAAGCCAGCAGCTTAAGTTTGAGACCTGAGCACCAAACTGATGGGGTGAGTTCCTACCCTTGCTGCAGCTGTTGCCAATCTAGCTGTTCAAGAGCATGCAAATGCAAGTAAATAAATAGGCACCACTTTGGTGGGAAGGTAATAGTGCTCTATGATGTCATGTCAATGTCTTCAGATAGTGCTGGCTAAATAGCTTTGAAATGGACATGAGAATCATCCCTACAGACGGTAATGACTAGCAGAGTAAAATCCTCAGGGGCTCCTTTACCTTTTATCTACATTCAGAGTTATAACCCTTGCCATCTAGGACTGTCACTGTCCTATTGTTTCTTTTCTTTTCTTTTTCTTTTTCTTATATGTATCCATATATTCATAACTATGTTTTTACTTATACCTATTATCTTGTAAGCAATCGACAAAGCAAATAAATAAATAAATAAAATCTTGGAATGGGTTCTAGGATTTGCTCAACCATCTCTCCTGAAAATGCTGGTCATGCAACAAACAATAAGGATAGTTAGGGACAGCCAATGCTGCTCAGGGTGTAAGTACAACCTCATTTGAAAAGGGAAGCTCTGCAGAAGAATTAAGCCATTTGCTTGAGCTGAATTCAAGATGAAAAGGAGAGAGCAACACCCCATCCCACCCACAAGAAGATGTATGTGGAGAGAATGAACTCTTCCTTTCAGGATTCAAATGGAAATAGTGTGGATGGATATATAACATTTGTCCTTTTTTTACTCTGAAATGTTTTTATAATTATCATAAGCCATTTATTTCAAGCATTTGGGGAGAATACAGTATCAGTTGTAGGCAGTTCAAGGTAGAATTTTTATGAGTTAGTGCTTTGGGGTTCACATTTTCACTTTCTAGCTGTAATAGATACATACTAGTAAGAATCCATTCTTTTAGTCTGTTGTTTTGACTACGTAAAGCGGCCTCTTCCAGAGACAATCCTGAAGTCCTTTGAACAAACAGAAGGAAGGTGTTCCATGCCAGCTGTCGTGTAAGTACTTAAAAAAAATCTATCAACTCCTAAGTGATTCCTGAATATGTTAAATGTGAGGTTGGTTGCCCTTGAAACATCTAGTATCTTTGTGCGACCTTTATGGAAAAGTGCATCAGCCATAATCATCACATTTCCCTATATTGACTTTATGTGAATTTAATTTAAATGTAAAATTAGTTGCGGTCCTTGTGGGTAGGCATTTCCACCCAACATATCACAATGAGGCCAGAGACTCAGGAAAAAAAACTATTCATTTTTTGCAATAAACATTAATAAAGAAGTTGGGGTTTAAACTGCAAGGCCTTTGATTGCTAACTTGATTTATTTGTCACCCCCACCCTGCAAATATTCTTATACCAAAATCTAAAGTTATCTCCCTCTTGAAAGTGCCTGGGGTTTGGTTCACCATTTCGATTCACAATTTTCAGACAAATCAGTCCTTTAGCATAAATAACTGAAAGATTTAGTGGACATCTGTCCATGTACCCCCTTTCATGAAATCAGTTGGGAATAGGAGGCCCTTGAGGGTAACTGGTGGGAGAGGCTCTGCCCCCTTGAAAACTGAGTGTGATGCCAATTGTAGAGAATTGCTTTCTTTCCAGCTTGTGATTAAAATATGCACGTGTCTCTTCTGTAGATTTATCACAAAGAAGGATCGTCGGATATGTGCAGATCCCAGTGAACAATGGGTCCAGGATCGTATGCAATATTTGTCCCAAAACTGACAACCTCCCAGCTCCTTCATATTTACCTGGAGAAGCCCCAAGAACTCAAAGCTTTTAAAGTGCTTCGGATGTGGAAAAAAAGAACATGTGCGGCTTTTATTCTGACCTTAAACTTAAACATTAACTTAAACTTCATTGATGGAAGATGAAATCATGTATTTTATTTAAATTATGGACAAATATGTTGTGTATTTGATATTATTATTTTTGAAAAGAAAAAGTTCATTTCTCTAAAGGTTCTGAGAAATATTTGACAGAAATATAATGTAGGAATAAATCTCACAGTTATGAAATCCATACATGTCTCTGATTGTCTATATTTGAAATCTTTTCTGAGAGCTCCTTCAGGTTACACAACAATTCTTATTTCATTGAAAGATTGACTGTCTGGGTTCTGGCTCTTCTCCTACCCTGGGAATGGGGATTCTTGGACTGTCCATCTGCTGCTGCACCACCATTCACAACATCCCTCCTTTTCAGACCTCAAAGACTGATGTCAATCTTGCAAGGTAGACTAGACAGGAAACACAGTGAGGTGAACTAATTTTACTTTATTGTAAGATTCTATTAACAGAATCTTGAAAATCTGAAAGTATCTTTCTCTCCCATTCACTTATACAGTCTAAGGAACTAGGGATGGCCCCCTCCTGAGTCCCTTGCCCTACTCATATTCCTGCTGTAGGCTAAATTGCCTGTTATCTGCCTCTGTTTGTCCTGACTCTGAAGGTTATTCCCACACAGACCAATATACCCTCTGTTGACTCTGCTGCTGGTGCACTGGAATGTATGAGACAGGGAAGTAGCAGCATGCAAAGTGGAGATACTCTGTATTCAGAGTAAAGCCTTCAAAAGCAACATGGAAGTAGGAGTGAAAGCTATCGCAATCATCAATTGGGGCTATTTGTTTTATCAGTTCGTTATACTCACATTAAGATGTAGCTCCATTCTAAAACGGCTGCACCCTTGTTGAATTTCTCTTCATTTCCAGCACTCTTATTCTTTTAAAAAAAAAAACCACCTTATATTGCTGTTTACATGGTTGTATGCAGTAGGGATTCTGATGTGAGAGGATGCTGCTTTAACATTGAAGACTTGCAGGTTTTGTCTGTCTGCAAGGAAGAGGGAAGGGAAGGGAAGAGGGAATGGTTGCTTATAAGTAATCAAGAGCACGTTTATCACAAACAACTTCTTAGCCCAGGCGACAAGAAACTTGGGGAAGAGTGTTTAAAGTCATTTAAAGTGTAATTGTGATTGTAGGTACAAGTGATTGTACAAGTGATTGTACCTAAATTAATTCAATATAAATGACAATAAGTCATTCTGGTCGTGGCTTGGTGGTCATGAGACTGGGGTGGTCGTGGCTTGGTCATGTGGCTGGGTGGGTGTGCTTGGCGGTCATGTGACTGGGGGTGTGTGGCCAACTTAATGTCACTCATGTCAAGGGGTGTCTTGCCTGGCCCCTCCCCTCCCAGACACTCCTTGTCACACCTGGCCTCAACGTATCTATAGTTCTGTAAAAATGTTGTTCACCTTTTTTTGACTTTATTATATATACTGTAGATGTACTTTCATGGACCACTGAAAGGGGGAAATGGCTCACATGCTTTACTCAAGAGTGTGATTGGCTACAGGCTTTTAAGGGGCTGCCAGAAAGAGTGGGGAGCAATGTATTTTCCAAAGCCCCTAAAGAAAAACAAGAAGCAACGGATGGAAACTAATCAAGGAGAGAAGCAACCTAAAACTAAGGAGAAACTTCCTGACAGTGAGAACAAGTGGAACTGCCTGTCTCCAGAAGTTCTGGATGCTCAATCACTGGAAGTTTTTAAGAAAAGACTGGACAGCCGTTTCTCTGAAATGGCATATGGTTCCCCCCAAGGTCCCTTCTAAGTGTTATTCTGTTATTCTGACACCTTTCCCAGGACCTCTAGTCAGAGTTTGGCATCCCCAGTTTTCCTGCCTGAGCTGGGGGTTGGACTAGAAGACCTCCAAAGGCCCTTTCAACTCTGTTAAACACAAGTGTATTTTATGCTCTGGACTATTGACATTGAATGCATGTAAACCCTGAAAAATATGTGGTAGCCCTGGGCAAAAAAAGGCAGTAAAATCACTCTAGGTATAGGGATAGTGTAAAAGATTAATGTGTGATAAATAATTATACAATTAAAAATAATAGCACAGAGCCTTTTCTCTCTTTCTCCACCTTCCTTCCTATATCTTTTTTTCTTTCTTCCTATTTCTTTTTCTCTCTTTCTTTCTCTTTCTTTTTATCTCTCTCTTTCTTCCCTTCTTGCTCTTTCTTTCTTTTTCTTATCTCTCTCTCTCTTTCACACACACACACACACCACACTCTCTCCCCTTCCTATTTCTTTTTATTTATCTCTCTTTCTTCCTCTTTCTTTCCCTCCAGTCCTCTTTCTTTCTTTCTTTCTTTCTTTCTTTCTTTCTTTCTTTCTTTCTTTCTTTCTTTCTTTCTTTCTTTCTTTCTTTCTTTCTTTCTTTCTTTCTTTCTTTCTTTCTTCTTCTCCTCCACCTCCTCCTCCTCCTCCTCCTCCTCCTCCTCCTCCTCCTTCTTTTCTCTCTCTCTCTCTCCCTCTCCACCTCTCTCTCTCTCTCTCTCTCACACACACACACACCCCTACCTGGTCGAGAGGGCAGAGGAGGTGTAGCTGCAACAGGAGGGAGCCAGGTCCTTGCCCTCCCATTCAGAGTACTCTGCCACTAGCTACTCCCGGGTGGTGAAATGTTTCATGTTTCCTCTCTTCATAAAAAGCCCGGTGCCACTTTCTCCTTTGGCTGCAGTGGGACCCCACTGCCCAGTTATCTTCCCTGATGGAGAGGAGAACCTTTTTTTTAAGTTTTATTGTTTTTTAAAACAAACATAGACAAACAAAACATAAAAACATCAAGCCATCTTCCATATATATACATATAGCGTGTCGGTTGGTTTACAAATTGTTTTGTGCTTCCACTTCGTAGTCTTCAATTACAATTACATTGTATATATTCTCATATTGTCAATCAAATATTCCTAAATACATTAATATCATTATTAATCAATCGCTTATCTATACTATTATTCATTCATGTTTTACAAGATAATCATATTTTATTTAATTTGTTTTATGACAGTTTGTATTATCATCTCAGATCTATCCTACAATCATTTTGTAGATATAATAAAAAAATACATTTTTATATATTCATTATGTTCTAAAAAACTACAGATTTCATTACCATGTTTTATTGTCTAACCATTGATCGAATAGATCCCAAATTTTATAAAATTGTTTATCATCTTGTTCTCTGATTTCAAATGTCAATCTACTCATTTCAGCACATTCCAATATTTTCTTAATAATTTCCTCCTGTGATGGTATTTTCTCATTTTTCCAGTTTTTGGCAACTACAATCCTAGCCGCTGTTAATACATTTACAATCAGGTATTTCAATTCTTTACTATATATTTCAGGTAAAATTCCCAGTAAAAATATCTCTGGTTTCAAGTCTATATGTTTTTTTTGTCATTTTTTCCAACCATGTGTGGATTTTAGTCCAATATTTTTTGGCATCCACACAAGTCCATCACATATTGTAATATGAGCCAGGTACTTGATGACATTTCCAAAAATTTTCAGATTTGTTCTTGAACATTCTTGCTATTCTTGTTGGGGGAAAATGCCACCTGTAAAACATCTTATACAAATTTTCTTTATATGCTGTTGACAATGTCATTTTATAATTTTAAGACCACAATTTTTGCCATTTCTCTAGATCAATCCCATGTCCGAAATTCTTCCCCCAAGCAATCATTGTTTCTTTAATTTTTTCTTCTTCTAGTTTAATTTCTAATAGATATCCATACAATTTTATATTCACCTTTTCACCAGTACCTGTCAAAATCTTATCTAAATCAGTCAATTTATCATAGAAACCTTCTGTTTTAGAATCTTCTCCCAGTTTAACCACAGAGACTCCTGTATATCATGTCTTCTAAAATACCCCCGTGTTTTAGTTCCTTTATACCATAAAAAAGCATGCCACCCCAACAACAGATCATGTCCTTCTAGTACCCACAATCTAGCATTTCTTAATGTTATCCATTCCTTAACCCACATCAAATCTGTAGCTTGGTAGTACGACTCCCAATAAGGCAAACCAAATCCTCCTCTTATTCTAGCATCTTGCAAAAGTTTTAATTTTATTCTCGCTTTCTTACCTTGCCATATATATTTCAATACAATTGTATTTAAATCTTCAAAATAATCTTTTCCAAGCCTAATTGAAATTGTTTGGAACAAATATAAAATTTTGGGTAATGTATTCATCTTGATTGTTGATATTCTCCCTATTAATGACAGTTGTAAATTTTCCCATTTTGCCAAATCTGGCGCTGTCTGCTGCTTAAGTTTAATATAGTTATCCTCTTTTAGTGTACTACATCTTGCTGTCAAATGTATCCCCAAGTACTTGATCTTATTTGTGACCTTGATTTTTAATACATCAGCCAGTTCTTCCTTTTGTCGTGATAACATATTCTTTGTCAAAAGCTTTGCTTTGTCTTTATTTATTTTCAAACCAGCTACCTTCCCATATACCTCTATCTTTTCTATCAATTTTAATGCTGTTTCTAGTGGGTCTTGTAAGATGAAAACTAGATCAACTGCAAATGCTTGCAATTTAAATTCTTCTTTTTTAATTTTCATCCCTTTTATGTCCTTTTCTTCTCTAATATTTCTGTTTAGCACTTCCAAGGTTAATACAAACAACAAAGGTGACAGTGGGCACCCTTGTCTTGTTCCTTTTTTTATCTCAATAGAGTCCGTTAATTCACCCTTTATCATTACCTTTGCTGTTTGCTTATGATATATCGCTTCTATTGCTTGGATGAATTTTTTACCAAAACCCATCTGTTCCAGCTGTAATAACATGAATCGCCAATTCACATTGTCAAATGCCATCTGTGCATCTTAGAATACCAAAGCCATTTGTTTTTCAGGATG